TATTGTTTTTTTTTTGGTTTGTCGAGACAGGGTTTCTCTGTGGCTTTGGAGCCTGTCCTGGCACTAGCTCTGTGTAGACCAGGCTGGCCTTGAACTGACAGAGATCCACCTGCCTCTGCCTCCCGAGTGCTGGGATTAAAGGCATGCACCACCACTGCCCAGCCTAGATGTTCGTTTTTTTAAACGTTACAAATTCAGTGGCACTCAGAGCCTTGAAAGATGGGGGAACTAAGGAAGAATGGATTCAAAGGGGAAAGGGCTGTGTTCACAAAGTCTTGGAAGCCACTCACCCTGCAGTTGTTAAGCACAGTTTGTGGGAGAGCACTGACTTGGGCTAGTCTTCTACACTGGCCCCTACATGAAAGTGACATGGGATCACTTTTGGGAACTGGCACCTGAATAACTAAGCTTCAAGGCCATCATTAGCGGGCAGTCGATTCTAATCAGTAAATGCTGAGCTGGGACCAGTGACGTCTCTATACCTCACTTGTTTCCTGTCCACAAATGCTGCCTGATATTGTTGGGGTTTTGGTGGGGTTGTTTTTGTTTTTTTTGTTGTTGTTGTTTTTTCAAGACAGGGTTTTCTCTGTCTAACAGCCCTAACTGTCCTGGAACTAGCTCTTATAGATCAGGCTGGCCTGGAACTCACAGAGGTCCGCCTGTCTCTGCCTCCCAGTGCTGCAAAGGTGGGTGCCACCATATTGTTGTTTAAAGGAGTAATTTTAACGTCTTGTGATTCAGAGAGCTGCCTTATCTTAGCATCATCAATAAAAGTCAGCTGTGGTCTTTAAAGTAACTTTGTCATTTTATCTTAGGGACACAGTTAAGCCACTGTTTAGGAATGCCCTGGATGGAGTGCAGCCAATACCATCACCAGACACTAGATGTCACCAGTAAGACGAATTTGTATCGCTTCATGAATGAACTTGGCCGGTTTCGTAGTGCTAAAGTGCCCATCTCCCAGATCACACCGAGGTCACACAGGTGCCCCACATGCCAAAGGTGGGGGTGAGATCTCTTGTGTCCACCATTTCCATTTTACATAAGAGATGGGGCATTCCTCCTCACACGATAGTGGGTTCACCAAGCATAGGAAAGGTCTCTGAATTCTGAGAAGCAGCAAGAATATCCACTCAAACCCCTATTAAAACTTCTACTGCTACAGCTATTCACGTAGGGGTTGGCTGCTGTAATAACTTGTCACCATTCTTCCTTGCGACAGTACTAACCCACGTGTATTGTAGTGTTGCATTGTCTTGGAAAGGTATGCATTTTGGTGCAAACTTATTTTGTGATTGTTTATTAGAGTACGGCAAAGGAAAAGTCTCTGTACTCAGGCTTAGAGTTCAGTGGAAGAGGTACCTGTCAAATGATTATTACTTAGAGTATGCCTTCGATGTCCCTGTTCCTTCATTGCTAAATAGAGCTGTAAGGTAGATGACTTTGGGGCCAGGCAAAAAATGAATATAGAACTCTGAGACACCAAGCAGTCTGAAGTAAAACTGGGTCAGTTAGTAAAGTTCCGTGATTGATAGAATGGGCTGGGAAGTGAGGTTTTAGAATTTGTGAAGGTGAAGGTTGTGGCCATTGAAGCCTGTAGAATAGCTAGATCAAATCAAAGAGAATAGCTGTCTGGGTGCAGGATGTGGAGATTGCCCTAACCCATGGAATAAATTAGCCAATAGGATCTAACCCAGGAGTTCTCCTTCCTAATGCTACAACTCTTTAATACAGTTCCTCATGTTGTAGTGAGCCTCAACCATAAAATTATTTTGTTGTTACTTTATTACTGTAACTTTGCTACTGTTATGAATCATAATGTAAATTTCTGTGTTTTCTGATGGTCTTGGGGCACCCCTATAAAAGGGTTATTTAACCCCCAAAGGGGTCATGACCCACATGTTGAAAACCTCTGTTCTAACAAGAGAAAGAGGAATCAGGCGACAGACTGGAAATGGAATTGTCACAACTCCCAGTGTGACAGATCATAGACTAGTTGTCCAGGCGGCAGATCTGACTGCTGGGTAGGAACAACGGCAGTGAAGCCTGGCATGCAGTCTCGTCCCCTTTAACTCCCAGTGGGCCCAGCTGCTGTGTTCTGGGCTTGTTTGAATA